ACAATTTTCCATTCCACGGTTATATCCAACAAAATCACAATCACACAATATAATAAGAGATTAAGAAAAAAAATAATAAAGACACTAGAATTAATTTTCTGTTCAGATGCGGTTCCATTAAAATATGAGATTGGATACAAAGTAGTCAAATATCTCCCTTGGATATTTATCCTAAAGATCCCAATAGAATCCAGTCTATAACATAATATACTCATATACATGAACGAAAAACTCCCAGAATAATCAAGATTTAAATTACTCCAAAACAACGATATCAATCTGATCCTTTCTATGCTACCAATACCCGAGCCGTCACCTCTGAATTTGCTCCCAAAATACGCTGAAATCGGCTGGCAAAAGTTGTTTAATTTCACATGGCTTATGCTCTTGTTTCACGGCCACACACAAAACGTATAGTAAAAGAGATATATATGAGTGTGGCGGCAGAAACTTGAAAAAATAGGTTTTTGGGCTTTTTAGTCCATTATTTGGTTTCGGCTCCACAATTACCCAACAGAATGGATTCAAATTTCCTGATAGTCATTTAACCTACCTATAATATTAATCCTATTGATTTGTCAAGATGCAAATAAGTAAAGCAAAGCCCAAACAATGGCGTGAACAAAAAAATGAAGTCATACCAGAGGCTTCTGGCCTTATTGGTTGCCGGCCCTATTTCTTCTTCTTTAGAAAATTAGGATATCAAAATTAGGCCATCAAGGTATATAGGAACATTTGAATTCTAAAATATCTAGAAATATGTACCTTTGTAAAAGTAAGGTTAGCATTTCCCTCTCTATAAAATTTTCTCTTCCCCTCTTTCTATTTTATATCTTCTTTCTCTTTAACATCTGACTCTAAAATTTTTCTACCCCTAAAGTTTCTATTTCTACGTAACTTTATTTTTCTCTCTCTAACATATCCCTCTTACTTTTCTTTCTTTAAAATATATTCTTTTTCTTCACCGTTTCTCTTTCTAACCCAAAGAGATAGCCAAAGTTATCCTTTTTTTCACCAGAGGTTTAATCATGGAAATTGAGACACTTACACTTGACAATATGAATTCTACATAAATCATACAAATATAACAAGCAGAGAGCCTAATGTGGAGCCTAACATGTTACTGCTACGAGTATTAGTAGAGAAATATTAATGATATTATCAAAGATGATATAACGGCATACTTCTCATTAGCAGAAAGGTGGTCATAAACTTTGAGGTATGCAGAATTTCGTAGAGAAGTTTTCTCAGGAGGATCGAAGTGCTTGGAGTTTGGTATTATCATTTCCTGTCAATTTCCATTGCAATATTGGGTTCCTATCAGTTACCTCGCATCCAGTGAACAAAATTGATGTCAATGTATGAGTCAAAAGATCAAAAGTGAACTTCAAGTACAAAATAAAAAGGGAGTTCCCCGTATATTCATGGTCAAGCTACCGTTTTCCTCTTCTCACAAGTTACAACAAGTACATCTGTTAGAATATCCACAACAGATAGTCAACAGTGAAGTCACGACTAATAAGCTTACTCAACTAAGAAGTAATTATTATAGTTGATAGCAAGAAAAATAAAATGGTTGGTTTCACTTCATTCATACCTTGGAACAATAAGCTGGGAAGTTGGACAGTATCCAGTCCATTTTAGAAACACAGGTGTAGTAACCACATCAGTGTTGGTGATTTCCTATATCACTACAACAAGAGAGGAATTTCTTTAAGATGAAAACCATGCTTAAGGAAAGGGAGAAAGGAAAGTAAAAGAAACCAAAAGGCGAGTTAAAATATAGTATACTAAGTTACATCAACAAAAACATCGAGCACAGTTCACAACCCAAGTTTCTTTCAAAACTCACCAGGTTTTATGTTGCTCAAAATTTGCTCATCTTCAACCCAACTTTTCGATTCTTCATGGATCAGGTTGATGGAAGAGTACATGGAGTCGGTGAGGTTCGCTGTATTAATGGCAAATAATTTTTTCCTTTTATATCCGTGAATGTCCAGACCAACTTGCACCCACCTTGATTAATTTCACGGAACAACTGCATGACCCTACTATATTTGGTTGCTAAGATAACTCGTAAGATATTAAATCCTAGTTAGGTGACCGTCATGGTTTGAATTCATTCCTAAGTTTTTTACTATTTACATTGGCACTTATTGACCGCTAGGCCAAACCATGATGGTTGTATTAATCACAGATTAACCATATTTTGATATATCATCTTCAGATTTAGTCTCTATAAGCTATTAAGATCTTAAATGATAGCCACTAAATGCCACGTGAGCTTTAAAATCGGCAGTCTTGATCAACAATGAGTGTACTTCAGCCCATAATAAGGAGACCTGTTTCTTCTTTTTCTGCATTAAAAAATTGTCGTTTGTTATCACATTATGGATGGACTGATTCTCCCAACTGCTTTATTAGAAGCAAGAAGAAGTGACCAAGCTATTCCCAGCTTCCTTAGTCAGTCCTTTTGCCCTCATTATTCTTCTTAATTCATCTACTGAATCCCACTTCCCAATCGAAGCATAAAAATTTGATGACAGCACGTAATTTCCTGCCTTGTTGGGATCCAGTTGAAGGAGTTTTTTGGCAGCAAACTCACCCCTTGAAACATCTTGGATATGACTACAAGCATTAAGTAATGCAGCCCATATTTTTGAAGTTATCTTAACACCACACGTCTCCATATCATGGAACAGACTCCAAACTTCATCGATCCTACCAGCTCGGCCTAACATATCTATGAAGCAGGCATAGTGTTCCGGACCCAGATATGAACTATAATTCTCCTTTGCCAAATAAAAACACTTTCGTCCCTGTTCCACCAGCCCCGAGTGCCCACAGGCGGATAAGACAGAAAGAAACGTGACTGAATTTGGCAAGACTCCCGTTCTTCCCTCTACCATCATCTTGAATAGTTCAAAAGCTTTTATCCCATCTCCGTGACTTCCATATGCTTGAATCATGCTGGTCCATGATATCACATCCTTATGACACATTCGATTGAACACAGTTCGAGCATTCAAAACTTTCCCACATTTAGCATACATATCCAGCAAAACATTGCATAATTGGGCGTTGGATGTCAAACCATGACGGACTGAAACACAGTGAATCTGCTTCCCTATCCATAAATCTGAATTCTCAGAGCAAGCGGCCAGGGCGCTTGTTAGTGCAATTGCATTCGGTCTCATCTTGCTCATCAATGACAACGCCTCTGCATAATTTTTATTCCTAACACACCCAGAAATCAAAGAATTTACCATGACATCATCCTTTCTACAGCTTAAACTAGTGTAAACTTTCATGGCTTCACTCATGCACCCAACACTAGAGTAGAAATCAACCAAGGCAGTACCCAAAACAAGCATATCTCTGTCCATCACAACAACTACCCCATGAACTTGCTTACCCTGCCGAAAAGCTTTCAAAGCCCCACAAGCTTTAAGCACAGAACACAAAGTAAACTCACTATACTCCACTTTTTCCCTCTTCATTTCTTCAAACACATGTAGTGCTTCTCCGGCAAGACCCTCCCTCAAAAAGCTTGACAACAACGCATTCCACGCGACCACGTCCTTCAACTCCATCTCATCAAAAACCTTAACAGAGCCATCAAGAACCCCACACTTGGAGTACATGTCCAAGATCGCAGTTTTAGTAACAGTTCCCGAGTACGTACCGATTTTGATGATCAACCCATGAACTTGGGCGCCGTACTC